TGGTGTTTTTAATAAAACAATTATTCCACTCGCGCTTGTTGGATGTGAGATGATAATCGCCAACTCGGCGCTACGCGCATCTTTGATTATCTGTCGTCTCATACCCAACGGCCGTTCGTGAAATAATTGTTAATTACTATTTGGAAATATTTAGTTGCGTGCAGTTTATAAAGTGATGTCTTTGTTATTTGGTGTTATTCTAGGGAAGAGAAAACAGACGTTCCAAGTGGTTAAGCAGGAAGTCATCTTGGCAAAGGACATCTACAGAGCCTAGTGGGAGTCTATTGTTAGGACCCAGGCAGGTTAGATATCCCACTTATTCTACTGATATATGCTAAGTTAGATCTGTGTGTTTCAAACTATTTGCTGTCTTAGCTTCTGGGTGCTTGTTTGTGAGCTTCCAAAGCAAGGACTACCGTATGATAGCGGTTGATAAATACCGCACGATTTCGTAGCAAAACATAGTTACATTTAAAGGAAAACAATTTTAAGAGACTTTCTTCACCGACTCTGTAATTTCTGCACATGTTAAACTCCTGAAAAGGTGAGACTTAAATCTCCATAGAGACATAATAACTGGAGGCTTACTAGAAAACCCTTGGTTACTTCAGTCTCCAGACTCATAGAGTACACTTTTTTCTTTGTCTTTACATTTCACTGTAAAAAAAACTGTAAATGTACGAGTAAATAAAGTTATTATACTTACAAGTATCACCTCAAATAGCGTCACTTACAACCCCTTTAATTTGTTTTCTGCATGTACTTGATAGCGTGTTGAATGTCGTCTCTTGCACTCCTTTTTAATGTTGACATGATTTGACCAACCTTATAACTTGGGTGCACTAAAGTGTAACTGACTTCTTTATATTTTCTACAGAGAACGCTGTCACTTGAAGAGATCAAGACTATTGACAAACACCCAGCATTCAAACTGATCCTTGACTTTGTGACAAACGATTCGTATTCTCATGAAAGGTAAATGAACATGTTTATGGACGTTTGTTCTAGTTAGCTGCTGACTCAGTACACTGTTAAGAAATAGTTACCGTAGTCAAGTAAAAGCAAAGTGTTTAGAGGAGAAACTCACTCAGAAATTAGCATATAAACCACGCAGAGCTCGATGCAATGGAAGGCTCAGGAAAAAGTTCTGTGAAATGGCGCAAGAATTCTAGTGGTCTAGGGATTTAAAATTGCTTCGTCCGTAAGTCACCCACAAGGGCTATTGCCACCTGTATATGGCTATGGAAGTGAGGAGATCTCGTCATAACGTTTTCTAATTACAAGCTACAGGTCACTTAGCCACACTGGCAAAAGAGCAAAAAACGTTTCTGAAAGTAAGACTGTTTTGTGCTGTTATTTGCCTTGATAATTGAAATAGATGAAATAGACTTTTCTTTTTTAACGTAGAATCCAAGCCCTGTTGCAGCAGAGAGTGAAACATGCCAACGCTGTTGCTGACATTTACCTCTTTGCTGCCGAATTTCTACGCATTTCTTCGGAAACCGACCTCGTCCAGGTAATAGTCTAGTAAAATATTACTATCGCAGCGCAAGTACATGTATCTCTATTACAGTTATCCTTAATTTTGTTTATATATTCTCTAAACAAACGTTTTGAAGCTTTTTATATAGTTGCCTATTGGCCTTGCAATACCAGAACGGCATTCGAACCATTCTGTTACACCAGTTTAGGATCAGTGTTTTGCTTTGTGGGTTTATTTATCTTGTTTTTTTGTTTGTTTGTTGTTTTTTTTTACTACACAGGCTCCGGCTGTTCTTTTCTTACAGCAGTTTCTGGCATCCCAAAAGTTCTTTCCAAGGTAAAATCAGTTGTTTTTTGACGAGGTTCACAAATGCTGCTCAAGTCAACGCCAATTTCCAATATACTGGTCAGAGTTTTTAAACGTAGTATATCAAACACGAGAGATCGTGCTTGACCACATTTCGAATCACCGAGGAGTAGGTTGAAAAAATGGACGAGTAGCAGAACAATTTTGACGAACTTCGAGGTGTTTAGAGATGTGAGAAGACACTGCCTCGAGTGTTTGTTCTCATTCGAAATTAAAATTCAGGAGAAAACTGTGAAATAAAATCGTCGAATTATATGCTAATTCAGTCCAGTTACCCAAACACCGTCACGTTTATGATTTCCTTTCGTTAAGGTGGCTTTTTACTGTAACAGTTTATTTGAGGAGAGATAGATTTTAGGTGTTACTGTAATAGGCCATTCCCGAGTTACCTTGTTTCTCATTTTCAAAGCGAGTCTTAATGCAAGACCTTTCATACATATGAAAATGACTTTGATTTACACGAAATTCAACCTGTAGGCGCAACTCATTTTCAGGCAACTCGTAAATGGCCTATTGCGTTGTTACTGGCAAAGTTATTGCAAGTGCTTTATTGTTTTATGTTTTCCAGGCACTATGCTGACAATCTTGATGGCTGTGGTTTGAACCTGGAGGGTAAAGTACGGCGAGCTTACTACGCGCTGGTGAGACGATGTCTAGAAGGAGTCAAATGTTATCATTCGCAAGATTCAAGCCAAAGGTAAAGTGAAGTAAACCCACTTAGGAATTCAAATTATACTTTGTCACACAAAAAAATTGATTTAATTTGGAGTTATAGCAGGGAATGATGTTTGTTATATATGTAAGCTACAGTCGAACCTCTCCACAACCTTGGGAACAGAGGAAAGTGACTGCTGTAGAGAGTTGGCCGTTATGGGGAGTCAAGGGTGTAATATGACACTGGATTTTTTTCGAGGGGTTCACCATTTTTATCATCAGAAAATACTTGGTGTAACATGTAAATACGTTGCACTATCAAAAAATATCAGTAAAACAGAAACCAAACAGAAATAGAGATAAACGACTGCGCGGTACGGATCAAGTTTCGTGACCTCTTACAATAAAAAAAATGGGGTTTTGTATATACCGTTTGTCAGTCGTTGACTAACTGGTCGTTGTCATGAGGTTACTTTGGCAGTCGGGACGCGACTTAGTGGCGTTGCTGTTGTGGAGAGGTGGCCGTTGTAGAGAGATTAAAATAAAAGTAAATGTCTGGACTGTCCGCCGGGACAAAAAACGTGGCCGTTGTGGAGAGGTGGCTGTTAGTGGAGGTTCGACTGTACTATGTTACAATCTATTCTAACGTATCTGTCTTCAATTCAAGGCCAAGTTCTGCGGCGTTTGAGTGTCTACGAGCTTTTGTCCTTCATCTTCTTGACACCGAATGGAAGGTTTGTGACGGCATTCAGATTCTAAGAAGGTATCTTTCTATAGAAATGTTATGTCAAACTTGACGTTGTTTGGTATTTTTGCTTGGTAGGGTTATGATCACACGTTTGTTCTAGATGTTCATCTGCCTGAGTTCCTGCTTGACACAGCGAAAGGTGAGTGACTTTTTCATTAATTCAGCCTTCAATAAAAAGCCGGATTATCCATAAATGTTGTTCATGAAATCTTTTACTTGGAAGAAAACTCAGGAGACACCATTAACTTTTTACCCATTCAACAATTGAAAGGACTGTTAGCTTATTCATTCAAGCCCACTTCCCAGTTTAAATGTTGTTCTGGTGTAAATAAAGAGATGCGGGATAGCTAGAGAGCTCTTTAAGACAACATGGAAGTGGGTTCATAAAAAAGTGTTTTTGCCCTGTTTTAGTCGCGAAGATGTTGTAAAAGTTCGCAGGTATTTCCTTGTCTCCACTTGGTCTTTATAGGATTTCAGACGTGAAAGCGTAAGGTTGTGCGTTTCACCGCCTTCTATTGCTGGCGCACTATATCAAACACGAAATACCGTGTTTGACCACATTTCCAAATACCAAGAAGAGAAGAGAGTTGAAAATACGACGCGTAGCGGAGTATTTTTGACGGACTTCGAGGTGTTTGGAAATGTGGTCAAACACTGTCTTGACGGTTTAAATATTTTCTCAGTCAAAACTAAAATTACGGAGAAAATGGAGAAACGGCTCATAAAATCCTACGGTGATTAAGATCAGATATCCAAACACCGTCACGGTCATGATTTCCTTTGTTTTAACTTGATGAATTATTAATGAGTTTGAGAAAGTATATTCAACTTGTCTCTTAGCGACCATAGTAAACCCCAATAAAGATGTGAAGGACATGAGTGAGCAGCAGGAACTGGACCACTATGAAGAAGGCAATACCTGGTTAGAGGAAGCTAAGCGGGACATGTCCTGGGTCTACCGCCTGCAACACGAAGCACAGACGGTCGAGGAACGGCGGGTTAGTCACCTCTTGTTAGTGGCACTTCCAAAGCAATGTTGGTTGTGCTTTAAAATAATCAGCGTAACCGATTTGTTAAGGAGTTGTACACACAAAATGTAGTTGATTTGACAAATCAAAATCTAAGAAGTCTGAGGAGAGAAGACAAGACGTTTGTGCGATACACACGATCTGAGATGATCGTGTAAACCACCAAGGCGGCACTCCCGACCACGTCTTGAGAAACTTAGAAAAAACGACGCCCCATGAACTCTGACTAGCGACTATGAGGGGATTGTAGAATGTTGATAGATCGGACGACCACGTATGGGAAAAAATGGACCGTCTTTTTGAACACGAATACGGAATGGTTCTAGCTAATTTAATATTGCATTTGACAGAGTTGGTTTAAGATTTTTTTTTTTTTTCATCTTTCTTCATTTCTTCATCTGATCCAGCGAATGCATTTATTCGTGGCACGGTTCTCGGACATTCTTGATGTGTCGATAACATGCAATGGCTGTGATGTCAGCCTGTCAGGCAGGCGATACCGATGCCTCGACTGCTTGGATGTTGACTTGTGCAATAGCTGTTACACGAGTGAGTATCAGAGCATCTGCTTCAGTTTTAATTTCGAGAGATAAGCGACCTTTGAATCTGTACGCACACAGGGTTAAAACAACTGCGAACATGTCTTGTCGACGGCCTTCTTAGACTGCGAGCAGTCTCTCCTTTGCTTGAAAATCCGCGGGGAAGAACGTAAACGAACAGAGGCGAGGAGCGAAACCGCGAGTTGTGAGTAGCGCGTTCAACGTTCGCCTCTGCTCCTGGGTTTCGTTGTTCCCTCGCCTATTCTCGAGCTAAAGAGAGACTGCTTGCAGTAGAGGCTCTTCCTTACGAAAAATGTCTGAAGAAAATTCACCTCTTTTAATGTAACAAAAGTGACTTTTTTGAAAGCCGAGGACAAGTTTCTTGTGTTGTTTCATAGCCTCTTTCACGTACACATTCGCTTACAGCTTTTAATATGTGTTTTTTTGTTTTTTGTTTTTTGTTTTTTTCTGTTGTTATCCTCGTGTAGTTGACCTATGTTCTGTTTGGAATGTTTTGTTTGATTTATATATTTTTTTCTGTTTTGGTACAGACGGTATGAAGCCTGATGGGCACTTGGAAAGTCACACCGTTATTGATATGAGGTCAGTGATGAGAACAAAACCGTCCGTAAATCCTGGCAATTTATCTGTGAAATTCGTTTTAAAAACACTGAGCACAGGTGTGATACTTTTAGGACATCTTTTACTCAAAAAGCCCTCTAGCACTTGAGCTTGTCTTGAAAGCCATTAGATTTTACTTGTTATCTTATGAGGGCCAAAATTGTTATTGTACGTAATGTGTAAAATCCTTCGCATTTCGGTGTCTTAAAAACAAACTCTTCTCAGTTTTGCTTACTTCTTAAAAAAAAAAAAAAAAATTCGAACTGTGATTTCTCTGGCGCAGGCCTTTATCACTAGTAGACACTTCCCTGCGGCAACGCTTTTATTGACAGGGCTGGTGTGAGGAATCAAATCACTGTTGCGAATGATGTACACTTACCTGCATTAGATTAACGTTCACAGATGTGATTGTGTTTGATATTCACTTGCTCAGGTTCAAGTGCGATGAGTGTCAGAGTTTTATAGTTGGTACGCGGTTTCACTGCAACGAGTGTGACGACTTTGACTTGTGCATTGGATGCCATTCATTTGGCAAGTTCCCAGAAAGGTGAGTCACCATCATTATCATGTTTTATTTCCCACACCATAAATAAAACAACATAGACAATAACAAGCAACAAATTATGATAGGGTAAGGTAAGGTAAAGTGGCCCCATCAAGCTGGAGCTTATCCCGGTTTCTATAGCATGAAGCGACTTGGAGTCTTTCTCTCTCTCTTCCCCCCCTTCCCCTTTCTGGATGGGATGCTAGTCCATCGAAGAGTTACCCGAAGAGAGCACTGTGAGAGTAAAGTGTCTTGCCCAAGAACACAAGGCAATGTCCCCGGCCNTAGGGACACCATGGTGGATAACAAGGTCGAAATAGCTTTGTCTTTTTCCTTAAGTTATAAACTTTCATAAGACATGACATTTTCCTTGATGACTCATTTTGTTTATCGAACTGCTTTTTTCTAGACACTCCGCGTCCCACAAAATCACCAAATTTCCACTGAAGACAGGTGAGACGAAGAATTAAGGCTCTTTAACTTAATTTTTTATCTTCGAGACGCGAAGTTGCATGCATCAGAATCGTTCTCAGTCTTTCTGCTCAATCTTGTCACAGCACCCTGTCATGAAGACAGAGTAGGATTTACTTATCCCCTTGTTTTTGAAAACAAACTCACAATGAAGTACACAGCCAGCTATGGGATGTTTGTTTTTAGTTGCTTTCTGTTGTTAAGGAATATCATCACTAGATTGCTAAATTGTTGTAACTTTTCTACGGCATAATTTTAGACGCTTAGAGCGTAGTCAGGCAGGCAATTTTTTACTTTGGTTTTTGGTTTTACTACGCTTTGAGTTTGGCTGAGTAGTCTAATTGGGAAGTGAATGGTGTGATTTTGGTTTTAGGGCACTCTATCGTGCCAGCAAATGAATAATTGTGTTAATGTGTTTAAGGTTCACTTCTAGACACGACCACAAATGATCCTACGAGTCGTGTCCAAATGTACACTCATCACCATGCCTGGCTTCAGTTCGCTGCTTTAACTCTTACGCTGGCTAATTCTCTCAACGAACCAAACAAGTCTGGTAAGTATTTTTATGTTTTTTATACTTGATTCACATTCATTTTAATTGGACACTTAACATTGCTAAAAGTTTTAAAATATACACTCGCCATTGCATTATCTACATGTTCGTACTGTTGTTGACAATGAACATTAGCCAATGAGGAGGGGAGAAGTTTATCTTTTGTTGTTATATCTCTCAACTCAAATCCGATTGGAGGAGAACGTGTCATGTGTCGTGGGTCAAAACTCCCAAAGGCGAACAAAACTCATTTAAAAAAAAAAAAAAATTGAACTTTCGACTCGCACGTTATCAGGTCATGCTCCTTGAAACCAGGCAAATTTGTGAGCCAGCCGGCGTCAAGCAAACGATTTCTTCGCAGTTTTGTTCTATTTTAAGCTGGGAGATACAACACTGTTCCCTCAGGGAACATTGAGGGTCTCGGGGAAACAAAACTCACTGTGTGAAGTTTATATGAAATAATTCATATATGAACTGCGGTTGTGGATGAAAGTGAAGAATGATCATCGCAGTTAATTTTCCAATTTAAGCAATTGGAAAGACTTTTAAAACTCACTGTGTCCCTTGGGGCCTGTCATTAAGTGCTTATTTTAATATAATGTATCTTATCGACTACTAATCTATTTTATGATTGCCAGTCTTTAGCTCGGACTACCTGCTAACCGCTGGCCATCTTCACATGGAATGCCTTGGTCTCATCACAAAATGCTTAAGCCACGCCTCCTGTAAACCAGAGACAGGTAATCCAAACAGATTGATTAAAACTCCCTGGTTACATGTGGAAATCTAGTATGTCCATTCTCCTTAGTTCCAAAGCAGTGCTTTAGGCCCCGTCCATACGCAGGAGAAATTTAAAAACAGTGTTTTCACTGTCAAAACGCATCAAATGTTTTCCGTCCACGCTACGCCGGAGAAACTTGAAAACGTAACAATCTGCGGTCATTTTGGATTTGTGTTTGAAGAAAACTCTGGCAAGGAAATGGCAAGATTATCTTGATGTTATCGTTTTCGAAAAGCTTACATTTCAAAATGCTTTTCGTCCACACTAAAACGCACAACCGTCGTTTTCAAATTTCTCAGGGTTTGAAGAGCGTTTTTGAAAAGTTCCGTTTTCGTGTTGTATCAGTATGGACGGTATTTGTAACCGTAGAAATAAAGCTGCGTTTTTAAATTTCTCCGTCGTAGTGTGAACGGGGCTGTAGTCAGTTAAGAACCCTCTTGAAATCGCTTGGTTAACCCTGCTGTCATCTGTGAATAACTGCTAGATGTTTCCGTAGGCGACAGTGGAACAGACAGTGCAGAGTCCTCTGGGGAGGCAGCATCTTCAACTGCTGCTGCGGCTCCGGAGTCCATCCCCGAAGGTGAGAGTACAGAGGAAGCAGAAGGTGAGGCTGCTGTGACGCAAGCTAAGGAGGCAGATGTCTCAGGAGTAGCTGAAGCCAAAGACGCTCCGGAAACGGTTTCCGAAAAGGGAAAGGGTCCAGAAGAAAGCACTCCTCAGACGGACAAAGAAACAAAGCAAGGAGATGATGATGTAAAAAGTGAGGAGTGTTCGTCTGAGAGTAAAGTTGACGGGATTGATAAACAGCAAGACACAGAAGCACGGAGCCCTGAAGACATTGAAAAAGTGTTTGCTAGCAAAACACAGGAAAGACTCATAGGACTTCTTGGAGCGGTTCTTCCGCAGGATTCAAAGGTACAAATTTACAAGTCATGTATTCAATTGAGCTTACCGGCGTTCTGTTGTAATCCAGTCTCCCCAAATTTATTTAGCCTGTGGAGTTATACCAGGATATGTCGTCAAGAAACTACGCACAGTAATAAATTCTAGTTACGCAACGTTCTCTCGTGGTATACCATAGAATATCCCACGAGTCACTTGTATTTTCTCGGAAAACACACAGTCAAGTATACCAAGAAAATACAAGTGACAACGGCTTTCCTGTATTCTTACTGGTTGTATTTTCTATGGCGAGGTATAAAGCATAGTTTACAACTTTTCCTCTAACTGCCACAGCCCAAGACACTGTATGTTAGGGTAACACGTTTTTCTTTTCTCATCATAGATCAGGCACTGGACAACTTACTGCTCTGGAATAGAAGAATTTATGTCTGATAAATTCCTTCCTACCTTGTTAAAAATTATCAGGTGCGAGCATTGTTGATTCAATCTCAGCGAGTCAGATGCACGGATAATAACAGTTATCCTGACGTTTCTGTCCTTGTTTCAACAGGAATGGCGAATCTGATGACAAAACTAAAAGTCTTGCTCTTGGTATTCTTGGCAAATTTCTCCAGTGTACGAGCCCTGATGTGAGTGTGTACACTTGATTGATTTCTGTATATTTTAGAAAGCTCCCTTGCAGATAACACATCTTGAGAAGTTTACTGTAAATTGTTAAAGCCTGTCTGTGATAATCCGTCTCAACATTTTCCAGCCTTAGCCTTTCGTTTTCCTTTTTAAACAATCATAGTTTTCTAATTCTGGGGTTTGTGCACCTAACTAAACCCTTACCATGAGATTTCTTATGATTCGAACTTGATCTGTGAGAAATAAAGTATGCTGTTGTCGTTGTTGATGATGGTTTGCTTATATTTTCGTGCTAAAGGTGAGACAAACTAAAACTACCCCTCTTGCAAAGAATGACATCTTCTTTACCCGTTTGGTTTTATTTCTGTATTGACGTCAATTTGAGATAAGAGAGGGATATGACTGGTGCCTCTACAATTTGTTCAGGTTGCCGATCGCGGAGTAGCGCCATATTACACATTACCTGTCAAAACAGAGAGCGAAAGCAGTGGTGGAGAGAGATCATCTGGCAAGGCAACAGTCGAGTTTCTCTTTCAGCTCGGAGCGGAGTATCTAGCAAGGTTAGTGGCCACTTTAGTGAAGAGTTCTCTAAGGGATGTGAGCAGCCAGACGGAGTTGAACAACATGATGTAATATATAAAACACGACACACGTGTTTTGTCACATTTTCAAACACCGAGAAGAGAGTTGAAAATACGACTGGCAGCGGAGTATTTTTTGACGAACTTCGAGGTGTTTGGAAATGTAGTCAAACACTGTCTTGAATGTTTGATATATGTTCTCAATCGAAACCAAAACCAAGGGGGAAAATGGAGAAATAAAATCGTAAAAATCTATGTTTATTAAGATCAGATATCAAAACACCGTCACGGTCATGATTGCCTGTAATCAGACTTGATGAATTATTAATGAGTTTGAGAAGGGTATGTGTAAGTCAAACTTATCACTCGTTGCTTGTGTTTGCCACAGATCAGATCTCAACGCGTCGTCTGGCATGGCGTCCACATTACAGCAGCTTGCCAGCTCGTCTCAGTGGCATCCCAGTATAGCAGATCATGTAGGACTGTGTCTGGAACGATTGGCTCAACCTGCAGCCGAGGTATTGTTAACCTTTCCTCACAGTTGCCTGTCCGTTGGGAGGGATGTTTCACAGTGTTCCAGTTTAACTTCCTTTCTTTCTTACCCCCCTTGCTTTCCTTTATAATTAACCCTCGGCTTTATAAATTCATTGATCTGCGTGTAGTTGACAGGGGCAGAATTTGTTCTCAACATCTTACCGTTATTTTTTGGTTATGTTCCTTGCAGAATGTAGAATTAAGTGCCGTTTTTGGACTCCTTGTTTTCGCGAGATTTCCTGATGTAAGTATGAAGAGCAATATTAGGCGCGGGTGAGGACTGGTAACTGGTGTGGTTGATGTGTGTAGCCTGGTTTCCATAATGGCATGCAGCCGTATGTGTATCAGGTAACACATGACTACATGTAGTTATGATGCATATTGGGTATTTTCAGGTTGTTCGGACGGGGTCTGTGGCGGAAATGAAGGATCTTAGTGGAGAGAAACGGAGAGTTGTGGTTTTAAAGAATTACCCCGACAAGGGATCTGTCACTGTTATGGATATCAAGTCACGCAAGAAGAAAACGGTAACGAAGCCCTCTATAATTTCTTGTAAGCGAAGGAATGTGCACCATTCATCATTCTAAAACTGTCTCAATGGTGCGCGTCAAAGACTAATAGAAATGCGACATGACTTAATGTAATTTATGTATTCTGAATAATTGGCTTCCGGTTCCGGTGGCCTCGTTGTTTGTGCGCTCGACTCTGGATCGAGCGGTCCGAGTTCGAGCTCTTGGGCCCGTTTCTCGAAAGTCCCGAAAGGTTTCGCACCCGGAAAGCCGTAGGCATAGTGTTGTGTTCTTGTGCAAGACACGTGACTCTCACTGTGACTCTCTCCACCCAGATGTATAAATGGGTACCGACTAGCATCCCATCCAGGGGGGAGTAGAGATATTCCTAGTTTTAATTCTTTTTTCGTGGTAAAAGAAATATTTTTAGGGTAGTATAGTATCGGTCCATCGCTTCATGTGGTAAGCAAGTAGCCAAAACTTGTCTTGATTGACAGGTCAAAGAACACCTCCTCGAGGAATCTCCAGCACTGAGTGAAACTTTCAAGACTTCAAGATTTTCAGTTCTTCTGGACATTGTTGTTAAAATTCTTCAACTTCTAAGAGACAGTAAGTACCATTGTCAGTTAATTTTAATTATTATATGGTCATCTCCGTGAGCGGTCAAGATGAACCAAATGCTGCATTTTGATTGGCTACCCGAGCGGGCAAGATGGAGCTATCTTGCCTGCTCGGGACTTCCCGCTGTATTTTCCCGAAAGCCATATAATTAATCAATTATTGACCCGACTTGTTCGGTCAAGATGGCTGGATATTGGCGTCGTTTATTTATTTATTTATTTATTTATTTATTTATTTATTTATTTATTTATTTATTTATTTATTTTTTGCGAGTTTATGGACCTCGACTCCTTCTCGGTCCATAAACACACAAAAAAAGAACTTGGCCAATATCCAGCCATTTTGACCTCACGCTTGGTCAATAACACATATATACCAGTCACACTACTGAAAGGCAGATGTTCTATTCTGTTACTTGACGTTTGCTGAGCATAGTGCGGATTTAATCGTTCAGATGTTTTTACTTCTAGTTATGTTTAGCATGTTTACACGCTTTGTCGCCGTAGTTGTTGCGATGTCTATTTTCATGGTGTATTTGGTAATCAGGTGTCGTGTAATTGTTGTGGTTTTAATTAAGTCCATGAAGAATATTTGAAATTTAAAGTAACTTGCGACAGGCGTTAAGTGTGAGTTATCTCGTGTTTCTTCTGAACAGAAAAAGCCGTTCCAGTGGAGAGAATGTGGGTTCTGTATCTTGCATTAAAGGGACTCCTGGGTAGCATAAAGGTACTGTACAACAGTGCTTTCTAAGGACAATTTTGCTTTAAAATATTTAACTCTGTGTCTTTCTCGTACATGTAACTGGCCAAACTTATTTAACTCAGCTCCGGTACAAAATTTCTGTCCACCGTATAAACTGAAATTGCTCGATCTTCCCATCGGATTTTGTGTTAACGTTTTCTATTTCAAGTTTCTTAGCTTTAGCAGCATTACTAAAAGTTTATTTAGCTGCAAACGGTTGCATTTTCATGCTAGTTGTGCTAATGCGGTTTTATTTTACTCAGGCCAATTCCAATTTGAGTCTTAATTCAGAGATGGTATCCAGTGGTATTGTGTCACTGCTCGCCAACATCGCTTGCCAGGGAACAGCATTTAGCAGTCAGTGGATTTTGCGAGACTTAGAGGTAAGAAGCGTTTCCGTAAAATGGTTTAAAATGCTTCCTGTAAAGTGAGATTGCGTTTTTCTCCCTATTGAACACCCTGAACTTAGTCAATACCTAGGGCCATCGCTATGGGAGAAACTAAAGGAAAGGACCATCAAATCTTTGTCAGCTTTTAGAACCAGGATACGCAAAAAGGATATGTCAGCTGTGTTAGAGGGATGTGGGAGAGATTGCAAATTATGTTCAACTTAGCTCTCACTGTTCAAGAAATATACTGTAAATAGGTAGTTTTAAGAAAAATGCTGTAAGTTGAGAATCTTTTAGTTTTTAACTTTTAATTTTCAAAATACTGTATTTTATGAGTCCCCAATTAGTGCTGTTGGCGTTAGAACAACCAGACACTTTAATAAAGGATATGTATGTAGGACACTAGATTCTGAACGAAATTACCATTTTATATTACCCAATTATTTTTTATTTTTTTGTTCAATGTAAACAGGTGTTATCTCTTAAACTCTACAAATCCGAGCAACCTTCTGCGGCGACTGCTACTAAACCTGCTGACAAAGAGGAGAGCAAAACAGAAGAGAAGACTACACAGGAATCTGGAGTTACTTCTACAACGATGGCGACCATTGCTATAGTGAAAGAAGATGAAGGAGGACATGATCCACTCGGAGGGCTTGATGATATCACTAAAACATGCTTTGAGGTTTGAACAACGGCATTTTTGGTTTATTTGGTCACCCTTTTTAATAGAAGAATATGGTTTTTCCAGCTGAGGTTAAATATTCTTATTTTGCTACCGATTTTAGGCTGAAAAAATTCTTGAGAATATTCTTAGATTATAGCGTATGACATTTCTGTTTTCGAATGTATTTGGTGTCTGGATGATGTTAAAGTAATTTTAGAGCCAGCCTGCAGGCATTAAAGCCTGATGTGACGCACAGAACCTCTTGCAGAAATGTTATCTACATCGAACATACGGCTAGTGCTGTTTTTGTTGCTTTTGGGCTAGTTTTGCCGTTTAAAGAAAGGAATAATTTTATACGGTTTAGTTAAAAACATGTAACTGTATTGTATTTACAAATTTTCAACACAAAATTATATTCTTTTCAAAATCTCAGCCTCGGATTTATTCTTAAATTATTCTTATAATTTCGCAAACTTCAGCCTCTATATTCTTAGAAAATATATTGAGAGTTTTGGAGACCACTCAATCAGGGTTGCCACTGGTCAGGAAATGGTCATGGAAAAAAAAAATTCTTCAAGGTCAGGGAAAAGTCAGCAAATTTTATTTTGACCCAGGATAAATTGACATTTTGAAAAAAAGTCAGGGGAAATTGAAATAATTTAACACGGCTGTTTTGATACCATTGAAGGCTGGAAGAAACATTTGGGGTCAATGTGATAGCAACGACATTTTTCCTTAATGATGTAGGAACATTTGTTGAAAACATATCCGTCCTAATAAACAAGTAGAAAGGAGGGCTGTAAGTTCACGCTCGAAGCCGCTACTAGATCTGACATTTTGTATTTTTTTTCGTCAAGGAAATGCTATTTTTAGTCTGTGCAATCAGGACGATGTCTTCGCTAAATTCGTGTTGTTTTCTAAACCACGTTTCATTGTAGCATGCGTTGTCTATTTTTCATTTTATTCAGACTATCCACGAAGCAATGAACGTTTCTTGTTCAGTGTTAAGAGCCATTTATGAGAATGTTGAACACGATCAGAGCCGGCTGCTGGTGGAAGTACAGAGAGGGTCGGTATTTCTTATTTTATATATTATAGCGATTTTATTACGTCTCTCATGGACTAGACTTGTAAAGTAAATCATAATTTCACTGTTTACTGATATGATAAAGGATTAGATTTGATAATTCATAGCCATTACCAATGGCGCTTCGTGTTAATGTTTATATCTTGATTATTTTTTTCAGGTTTGACGGAGCGGCTTTTCAAGTATCTGACGAGATAAAAGAACAAGCGAAGAAGTGGTAAAATAACTTTTGTACATCAACGACGTTTGAAAAGTTTCATAAGGAAGCATTAGCCATCTGCGTGATTTACTTCTGTGTTGAAATCAATCACGTTGTGTGTCTGTTTCATCAACTTTTAATTTAGTTGTCTTCTGTTTGANCGTGTTTGAGACCACAGAGCGTCAGTTGTGAACTCTGATGACAAATAACAGAAAGTGGAAAAATTTTTTAACTTTTCTCTGAACAATATGGCATATATATTTATCCTTAGAAGTGTCTTCCTGTTTTTCTGTTTATTACTATGTTCTTTACTCCTTACCCTTTTTTAGCCGTCTCACTTTTTTGTGTTGTGCTTTTCTCTTTTCAGATTAATCTCGCGTTGTCTGTTATCTACTCGCGCCATTTGATAGCCATGCTGTTGGGAAACTGGCCTGAAGGTCACATGATCACCTCTGAGCTGTTGGATAACAGTGATGAAGTACAGCTAATTGGTTTGCTTGACATATTACAAAGGCTGGAGAGTAAAGAACGTTTTGAACAGGTGGCTAATGCATGTACTCAAGTAAAGTATTGCTTTAGAGAGTTTAAGAAAACACAACGGGAACGGCAACGTCGCTGAACGAAAGGCTTAATGAGCAAAACAATGGCTGTGCACGTGCATTATAATTGTTGGTACATTTCGTAGCTTTCCTCTTCAAAACAGCAGGGACCTTGAGCAAACCACGACGGCAACGGCAACAAGAACGTCACCAAACAGAAGATTTAATGAGCAGAACAATAGCTGTGCACGTGCGTCATAAATCTTTGTACATTTCTTTGCCTTCCTCTGCAAAACAACAACGTGAAATGACCATGTTCTGTGTATTTTGGGGAACGTGAACGAGAGTGGCTAATTTTTTGTATTTTCATTTGGAATTGAACGCTGGCGTTACGTATTTAGGTTGAGCAAGTTCTGATACAAGTAGGCCCACTAAACAGATCTAGACATCTGCGAAATTCGAAGATAAGATATAAGTTCATTTTTTACTAGACGTCGTCCTTAGCGTTCCGTCTTCGTTGCTTAAGCTCCCTAGCAACTTGAACGAAGCGCGCGAGTGACGTCATAACTCAGACAAACTCAGACAAAAAAAACGGACTGGTGGAAGATTTGACGCTTTTTCAAGCGCGTAAGCAAATGTTCCTAAAACAATTTTTAAAACCAAAATTTGGCGTTCATTTTCCCTCTATTTCTCTCAGAGCACGCTTATGTTGTCTGACTCTCGCGGGGTTCCAATAATTTGCATTCTATTTTTGGACTTCGTGCGCTTCGTCATTCTGCGTTGTGTGGAGAACGTGAACCACGACGGATAATTTTTAAAATTTGTATTTCGAATTTCACTCTGTGTTCCATATTCGATTTAGAGAATATGGCCAAGAGAAACAAACTAAATGACTTTAGAGTATCACGAGATTCGTAGGTAAAATATATAGCCATTTTTAATCGACGTTATCCTTGGCGTCCTCGTCGTAGTTACTTAAACGCCCTATTGTTTTCGTCTAGTTGGCGACCTTACTCTAACATTTTGTCTTCACTTTGGACAACTATGCTTTAGAGTAAACTGACAACAACGCAAAATTGCTAACCGTCATTAACTGATTCTTCAAATTTCTAACTTGTTAGTTTATGCACTAAACCGCTTCCATGTGATTCAGTTTCAACTTAAAATGTTCATTTGTTAACGCCCCCCTCACAATACTCCTCTTTATAAAATAACTCATTCGTCGATAGGTGTGCATAACTGTCTCGAATTCTCCCAAATCCGCCCCCCACCCCACACCCCCGCCCCTCGTTCTTAGATGCGGCTATGTAAACTGAAGGAAAAAGTGCTCTGCTCTATTGCATTACTCTTGCATATTTGGTCAAGACAAATTAATTATTCACGGTATGTCTATATGACCTTGTCAATGCCAGTAACGTCATAAATCACCTGTCTGTGACGTGCGGTATTGAGTATTTGCGGCTGCTTTTCATTTTTATTTCAGGTCGTAAGTTCAGTGGTACGACATGGAGACCCTGAACTGGTTCACCCGCTCTCTCTTGCTGCTGCTCACTGTATGGGTGAAGTAACGCTATCAACAGAGACCAGAGAGTCCGCTCACAAATACCCAAACGATACTGTCGACAAGGTAAGCTTAGCTCTCCAGAAAACATGTTAGAAAACATGTTTGAGGAGATGAAACACGGAGAATGTGTTGTATAGTACAGACAGTGGTTATACGTTTTTAGAAAATAGCCCAAAGAAAATGTGCGTGCTAATTGTAACTTGAAACACGGAACTAGCACAAGCTGTTGATGGCGCGAACAAAGAGAATTTACCTTTTGATGATCAAAGTAAACTAGTTGTTTCCTCGTCGCGGTATTTTCTAAAGGAAATAGAAAACATTTTCTCTGTATTCCGAACACTCGTGAAAGTTTGGGAGAACTCGAGAAAGCTGTGGAGACACTCGCCTGTCGGTTCGTGTTCACACAGAATTTCTCGTTCTCCCACTCGCGTTTCTATAGCTCGACAGAAACACGGTACATGGTTTCTATTTATCAATTAAAGTACTTATAACAGAGCACTTCTAACAAACTGTACCGGTCATTTTACAGGGGAAAGTGCATATTCCTGGAGCGGCAACACTGTTTGTTAAATTTGATCCCAGGTACGCTACTGGACAGATTGCTGTTACATTTAATGTGATGTTTTATCGAATAATAAATCCAAAACATACTTTTCTCCGTGACTTTGTGGGTTATGCTGATGCTTTTACGGACAATGTGGATGAAGATTCTTTTTTTTGTTTTGTTTTGTTTTGTTTTGTTTTTACTTCTCTATCTACAGTATGCATACAAAGTCTTATCGACAACCTCATTCCAAAATATTTTTTTTATTCTTCTCACTGATAGTGAGGTCGACTTCAAGAAATTCTTAGTCTATCATACATGACTCTTAGCGTGTTTGTATCACCAGCTAAAGAAACTTATGCCAAAAAGGATTTTTAAACACAAACTGAAACAGTGTTTACTTCACCATTTTTAACCTTAGTTTGTAGTAGTATTTTTAATCCTAGTTCTAGTTTTAAACCTTAGTTTTAGTCTCACGTTTTTAGCTTTTATTACTTCTGTATTTTGGACATTTAATGTATATTTTAGACTTTTATATTTTATAGGACCCTCCTGAAAACCACCTCTACGTGATTAGAGGCATCCTCTTCAAATATTAATTTATTATTATTATGTTAGCTACGTGGTGCTGCTTAGAACTGTCAGGCTCACGTTCTTTCTCTACAGATGTGCAACTGAAGAAGGATGCGACGAACTTCAAATTGCGTCTTCACCAGATTACGATCAAAACAAACACGTGTTCTCTGGTCCAACTGGCCGATGGATTGATGTGGAAATACCAGGTCAGTCAAGCGGCATTAATTGGACAGCCTCAAAGCTGTGTTTTTTTCTTTCTTTCTTTTGAACAATAGAACAAGCAGCTTTTAGTTTATCATCTCTGAGACATTATTTAAAACATTATATTGAGAGCAAATCGCTTTTTTCTTTTCGTTTCAGGTGACACTTTGTACTACTTCTTCAAATCAGACAGCAGTACAAACGATTGGGGCTGGAAATTTGTAGTCACTGGAGGTCAACTTGGCAGGTAACGTGACTGTACTAAGGACTAGTAATGAAATCTTTTCTACTAAGTGACAACGACCAAGACCACTGATTGCGTGACTGTTTATTGAATTTCACAGATTCAAGACTGGTTTTACAGTACTGAATGCCATGCTTTCCTTGGATAACAAAGTCGCCAGGTATTTTTNCCCCCAGAAAAAAAGGATTTAAGGAGCCTGACGGAAACGTGGGCCAAAACTCTTGTGATAAATGATCCAGAAATAATAAAATAACAATATAAGACTGCAATAGTCAACATTAGCAGCAAGTGAATGTCTACGCAATGGCAAAATACTACTGTTTTTGTTGAAAAAAAATGTTGTTGTTTCTATACTCTGCGATCGCACTTCTGCCCGCGAAAATTGGCGTATTTCAAAGAGGAATTCGTAAAACGGCACACGATTTCAGAACATTACTTTCTCATTTGTAGAAGCAGAATGTAACCAGATTTAAACTAACCAACGTGTTTGGTTGATTTGTTGATTTCGTTTCCAGGTCCTTGCCTCTTAAGAAGTTATGGGTCTGGCTGGTATCAGTAGCCTGCTGTCAAACTGGTCAGCAGCGGCTCATGGCAACCGGCTTGTTGCTAAGACTTCTGCTAGTCGTATCAGGGTAGGTTATATTAGGATGTAGTTCATAAAACTGAAATAAATATAAATGAAGGATGGGTCTTCAGTGAGGATAATTACTACAGTATTTTCCTCGTTTGCATCGTTAGACTAAGTGGTTTCATGTTTCTCCAGTATTTTCTCAGTCATTGGATACTGTTGCATAAGAAATGGAAGGTTTGGAGTAAGACTGACCTTATAGAAAAGTTTGTAAAATGCGTGGCCAACAGTGCTAAAGATCTTGGGTAATGTTATGTTTTCAATACAGTAGTGGTTTAAGGCGCTGGATTTGAACTCTGGAGGTCCCTATTTCAAATCTCTACTCTACCGCTATCTGGATTTGTTCTCGGTAGTCCCAAGTTGAACGCTTCGACCGCGTTCTGTAAATAGTCATCTCGTCAGCCTCCTGCCAGTTGAAATCCGTAACAGTTTATGTTCTATTTGCAATATTTGTTTAGTATTGTAAGAGTCTTCAAATACCACAAAAGGGCTAAATATATTTGACACTATTTTTATTTTTATTTGGATACAGGCAAGCTGTGGATAGAGATGGGTCGCGTTCATCTCCAATGGAGACCAGTGACAGACCAGATCTCAGTCTGTTGAAGCCTCTTTGGTCACTTTACACCAGGATGCTTGAAAAGGAAGGAGGTGAGAAAGCTACAAACTTGCCATCAATAACGTTTGAATAAAAACCATAGACACTGAGCCGAGAAGTCTCAAGAAGGCGGAAACAACCGCCAGTAGTTTTATAACAGTTTCGGACTGTCCTGGGTTTTTGAGCTGCTGGAATCTTCTTCAGTTTTCCAGTCGTCTGGTCTTGTATAGTAATAAGTATTTTCTTAGTTGAGGTGTCACTATTGTTAATTCATTTGGTCGTTTTGTCAACAGGCTCTGGTTCAGCTCCTACGTTAGTTCCTCCTGTCCTCAGAGGCCTTACGGAACTCTTCTTAGTTGTGGAAAACCTTGCACAGGTCAGTATATATGGGTTATTGACAAGCGTGAGGTCAAGACGGCTTGATATTGGTTAAGTTTTCTTTTGCGTGTTTATAGATCGAGACGGAGTTGCAGGTCCATAAACTAGCAAAAAAAGAGCGAGGCCAATATCCAGCCATCCTAACCCAACAAACTTGGTCAATAAAGGATTTATTATATAGAAAAGAGCACTGTTTTACTGCAGGACGCCGCGGGTTATCCCGAGTTGGCAAGGTAGCGCCATCTTGCCGGATCGGGTGGCCAATCACAGCGTAGGATTCGGTTCATCCTACCAGCTAGCCATAAAATAACAACTTCATGTGTGTTCCAAAATATTTGGGGGGGGGGGAGGGGGAGTGGTGGGGGTGGGGACTCCTCCATTCTTATTGACTTGACCTGCCTGACACGTTATGACTTCCTGATCATGTAACGGCGAATTGCTCGAATACCCTGGTTGGTCTGACCATTCTTCAAGGTATGTGACTGCATTGTATCTCTACCGCTGGTTACTGCTATTGTTAGGCCTAACGTCCTGTCATATTCGCATTATCATTTGTCTGTGTAGGACTGGGGCATGGCAGAAGACCTTGTTGTTGGTTTTACGACAACCGAGAGCTTAAAGCGATGTTTCTCGCAGGTAGGAAGTAATCTATAGTTTACTGAGATCCAACTCATTTGTCTTCATCAACCGGAAATTATCTCTTGGATCAGGTTTCTTATCTAAAATAGGAACTGTTCCTCAAACAGTGATTCCAGTTAACTTGAGCATTGTAGAGGAAGGTTGTTACGAGACGTTGCGTGACAACCTTGCTTAAGGCCATAAAGAGGACTGCTAACAAGCTCGTAACTTCTCTTTCCGTTTGCTGCAGGCTGTTCACAAGGTTGGTCTTATCGGTCTTGCTATTGGACAGCCAAACAAGGCCTCAGAGGCTCTTATCAAAGCCGCCTCCACGCCCAAGCCCCAACAGGACGAGTCGAAAAAGGTGCGTCATTTGGTCACACGGTGTTAAACGCTGTGTCTTTGTAGGTTACATCTGCCATATGCTTATTGATTCTAGCTTTCAACAGTACTTGTTGTTAGTTGGTGTTACTCTCTTCCCATCTGGAAAAAGACGCACACTTGTACCCTCTTTGAACACATAATGACTCTTGGTTCATTTTAATCACGATCAACAGGAGAAGTCCAAAGCAGCCACGTCTGAACGGTAACTGGTATTTCTCTTCATATTTGTAGGTTGTTGTTGTTGTTGTTGTTACTTGTTGCTAGTCAGGAATAAAACTACTGAACCAGGGCTACATCGACATCAGATGTATCTTTTCGTGCCAAGATCTTATTTTAAATCGAGGAAGTCCAAAGTACACTGGAAGAGTGGAAAGAATAACATTAAGAACCGCACTTCCTGCGATTTCCCATTCCCAATTTCTAGTTCAGCCGTTAAAGAACTTTCAACTTGATTAGCCTTAGCAAGCGATTATCAGCCCAACCTTTTCATGGTATGTAAGCTTTTACATGTGATGTGTTCGTGCGTTATTTGACGAGTCCTCGTGTTTTGCAGCACCACAGGCATCCAGTTCGTGAGCCATTTTCCCATCTCGATTGGTTTGAATGACGAAAACGAGGATGACACCACAGGAGATGGGTCTAGTGACGACTCCAGTGACAGCAACTCATCCGATACCTGGAGCTAGCCACGCCACCTGTTACGTCAGAACACATGACTGGACACCAACGTGTCACGTGACAATCATGTGACAGGATTCAGGGAAACTGAAGTAATTCAAGATTCTAAAGTTGGGTTATCAACACGATTATACTGGAGCAGGTGCTGATTTGCGAGGAAACACGACAGATCAGGCCATGAACACTTTCCTAGACTATGAACCCGATGCTTGATTTTCATATAATTTACGATTCAGAAATGACAAGCTGTCCAAAATAATTGGCTTCTAAGCAATATTCTTGGATTATAAAACTATATTATCTATCTCAGCTGATACATGACAACCGACACTGAGCAAACTTTGCTGTTACGTCTCATCATTTGTGCTTTGTCAGCCATTTTAACTGGTTGCAGTGGACCTTTTCACGGTTTATAATTGCTTAAGAGTCGATGCGGAATTTTAGGAAGCATATCAAATTGAATACTCCTGACAGAAGTTACTTACATTCCCCACGATGATCAACATCTTATTACTCGTCAAAATATCAGTACAATGTCCAACACACAGATGATAATAAAAAAAGAAGGTCATCAACTAAGGGATGGGGTGGAAGTGTATATTCCAAAGTACATTTTGTCAAGAAATTGCATTTCTTAAGAAGCCGAGGGCAAGGCTGAGACTGTTGTCTGATGCTAATCGGCATGCCTGGTGCTATATGAAAGCAGTGTCAGACTGATGAGGTAAAAGGATGCCATATATAAGAAAATTGATCCTCTCGCTGAAGGAACTTGCTCTTCAGGTGTGTTTAGTACATTGAAATGTTTTGAAATAAATATGGTTCGTTGATAAAGAATTCTTACGTGTGATTGTAAGACAGTTTACTAGTGAACGTAAAACAAAGATGTTTTAGAGGAGCTGGATAGATTTTAACGGATAGCGTGGGAGCGTGACTGCGAGCGTGACACGCGTGCCGCGAGTAGCGCGGCTTGCGGCTTCGCGTGTCACGCTCGCGCGCTCCCGACCGCTCACTTGTTTTGCGTTCTTTTCGTTCTTCCCCACGGAATTTCGAGCAAAAGAAAAACTGCTAGCAGTCTAGCTGTGAATTAAAAAATCGCCGTTCTAAATCCATTCTAAGTAGCGCAGTGCCTAATCGTCGCTTAACACTCGTGTTTTATAAGGGGCGGACCATAATTTTTTTGATGGGGGAGGGAGGGGGGTTGGGCAATTTCCCCCCAAAAAAGATTCTGCATAGCAAACACTGCTGAAAAATAATTGTGCAATGGGAGCCACGGAGGAAAAAACACCCGAGGAAGAGCTTTCAACCTGATACACGTCCTGCGTTTAACTTTTTCAAAAATATTATTGCACAAGCCATTGCCCACCAATAATTAATCAGGCACAACCTAAAGTTGAGAAAACATATTACGCCTCAGAAAATTACCCAACCTCCTAATAATGACAACGTGAAATTCCTGCTATCAAGTGGCGTCGACGTCCAAATGGCTCGTCACACAATCTTTCCTCTCGAGGAAAGATTGCGTGACGAGCTCATGACCAATGTCTGCGTGGGTTAGCAATCAAGCAGACGCGATCACAACAGCAGCATCTTTATATCCTTACAGTTTATATAGGACAGTTCAGGTCAGGTACCCAAAGTTTACTGTGCGAGCGTGTCTCATTTATGAACTACAGAAGCTAAAAAAAAAAAGGTTTCGTTGACGTGGTATGTCAACACTTTACAGAACATGGAGCCTAAAACTCGTTTTGATCACGGTAAAATGACGTGAATAATCTTACAAACAAGCCTAAAATGATAAACAAGGCGAGCCATTTTTGTCTTATTTTTCGTATTTCTAGTGGCTAAATTCCCACACAAAATTTTATTCCCGGCAAGTTTCTGCGTTGTAGGCAAAAAAAATGTTCATACAGTGAGGTCAAACACCTGCGATGCAACATGTGATAAAGCTTATTTATTAGTTCTTTATCATGCAAATATCAAACCGAGAAAGCTAGTGCCACAACTCTCTTTGGGTTTCGTCACCCAGATTGCGTGACGATCCCAAAGAGCGTCTCATTGGAGGCTACCGTGGCATTGAAAGAAAAGCAAACAAAAGTGAAAGTGTGGTCTACTTCGATCTAATAATTAAGGGTAAGAATTAAAGAGCTGTTATACACTCCCTCTTCTAGGACAAGGATAGATCTTTCATGTAACGGTTGGCAATCAGTTCGGTCACGCGACAAGCCCATGAAATAAGAAAGTGGGAAACACATTTACATGTCTTACGTTGTAACATTATTCACAGCATGGCAGAAATGCAAATCTTGTTGTATGCATGGTAATTATTCCAACCTACGCCTCGGCATTTATGCCGACTTAAGGCAACGCATCGAAGTAAAAGCTGAGTTTAGCATTGCTACACTTGCATTTCTAGCTACTTATACATAAGGCACTCTAATTGATTGAATTACTTGAAGTCCATGAGGTAATAATTCATAACCATGACTACTCCTTCTGTATCCTCGCCTCCATCCCCCGCACGGTCTTCAGACTTCTCGGGTCTGTGTTCCTCTGACCCTGGTGATTCATCTGACATTTTCTCTTTACCAAGGTACTGAACTGTGCATCTTTCGCCAAATAACTCGTGCACATCCTTCTCCGAAACGAATTTAAATGACTCTGGCAAGCCCTCGGGAGATTCGGGCGCGAAAACCTCGAGAAGATAACGACCCTCTGGCTTGAGGCAGTCAAGCATGATCTCCGTGTACTGCTTGAGTCGACCTTCTTTCATCATTTTAATTGCAGTCATAGATCCACGATCCCAGATGCAATCGAACTGGCCACCAACGACCTCAGCTGTGACATCGAAAATACTGCACTCGAAAAGCGTTATATCTTTTTCATTCGCTTTGAAAACTGTCCCTTGAATCTCGGATGAGAGCCGAATGGATTTCACGTGATGTGTTAGCTTGTTCTCGTGAAAGAAAGCTTCGATTGCCTTTCCAATCAATTCCACACCTACAACAGCGTGTCCTTGATCAGCTAACCAGTTCATGTCCAGTGATTTTCCGCAAAGCGGCACCAGAATTCTAAGATTCTTTCGTCCACGCGTGAATTCACCATATTGTTTGATCAACATGGCGTTCACCTCATCGCTGTGAAATTCTGGGTTGTCAGTTGTCCAATCCTGCTCCCATGCCTCTTTGCTCTCAAAATCAAGTGTAGCCAAGTGCTCTAATTTTTCTTTAACCTCGGCCATTACGCTGCAAACAAATTATGTTGCCAACTGGGTCAGACGTAAGAGGCAGTGGTTCGTCAGAAGGAATTCCGAGAAAAGACTGGTATCGAACGCTCGCATATCATCGTCCGCGTGTGAGAAAAGATACTCTCTGGAGCTCTCAGGACACCTTGACTTACGGGATCATTATTATTAATCAAACTGCAATATTCATACTCATATGAACACTTTAAAACCATCCACCTCTCCCTCACTAAATTCTTTTAAAATATATATCAATGGCATACAAGGCATGTAGTTGCGTGATCAGTCTGATTTCGTGACTGCATTTGAATGTCTTACATTTGAGTAGATGTCACGCCAAGCAGATCACGCGATCCGTTCATTAAGAGTTTGAGCATGTAAACCGAAAAAAAAAACCCTGGCGTCTCCCACTGGTGCTACCAAGGGCGCAAACCTCATTATTTCTTTTATTCGATTTATACTCGCCCAAATATTGACCGTATGCGATCTGAATTTTCCATAGAGTTATATGCATAGCATAGCATTAGTCAGAGGCATGCGATAAAATTCATCCGCGATCAAGGCTAACATTTGCAAAACTACAAAACTGTCGTACGGCACGAAACGTATTTAAAGATTAGCGGCCATATTATTAGGAGACTCTTTATTGTGNCATCTGTCTGTCAAAAAAGGTCCATCTTGGAACTTGAGAAAAGCTAGTTTCCTTTCCTGTCCTTTTGTTTACATTTCATATGCCTTAATTTGACTTAATTAATGCAGTATATTATTAGTGCATTTCAAATGTATCCAGAAGGGTGTTCTTGAAAACACTTGTTTTGGTCACCACAATAATTGTTTGAAATTGTATGGTATGAAACTATTTGTTTAGAACATAGGTTTTACATGTAATGAAGATAGTATTCATTTCTTTTGATAGTTAGAAGTTTTGTAACAACAATTTTCATGGAATATTACACCAAAGAATGTAAAATGGCCTTTTGTTTCAAATGGTGTGCACATAAGTAGAGTTCACTGAGTTTGCACGCTTTTTTAACCTCCTACACAGACATACTCTTGGCTCGTCACGCAATCTTTCCTCCCCAACGATTGCATGATGAGCCAAAAGAATGTCTGCATAGGAGCCTATGCTCTTTTGGGCTTTTCCATGACTTTCCACGACCCTTCCCAGTTTTCCAGGAGCTACACACACCCTGTAATCAATGGCAGTGGTGGATAACTCCTTAATATCCCTAGCAACACAAGATCGTGACACTTTTTTTGCGATTCTCTTAACCAGCTTTTGACTCATCCTTTTTTCAACCCTGAACATAAACAGGACAAAATCGAGTTTATTCGTTAACTAATACAGGATTCAACAAAATATCAAATCTATATTAGCAATGACATTAATTTAGTGTTGATTATTGGCAGTTATTGGGCATCACAGACAGTATTTACAGTACAAATACTAAACATATTTCTCTCATCTCTCCTCGTGTGAACAAAATATGAACTGACTAACATATAAAAGAAGATCGACTCTTAAGCGATACTT